GAATAAACCACCAATGCCTGCACCCCACTAAAAGGAATTCCTACTCCATTGGTCTGGGATGCTTCTTGGGCTTTAGGAATTCTGTTGGTGTTGAAGGGTGCCATGGGGTCCATTCCAATTCCTAGCAATTCCACAAGACAGAGTAGAACTGCACCATAGGTTTTTCTAGGGTAAGGTTGATGGTTAGAACCCACTCAGAGACTCTTCAGAAGAAAAGCACTGGTAATCAGCTCCCTCAAAGATTGAATCCTGGGAAACCACACAGGGCAGTTCTCTCTATTCTATAGAGTAGCTCTGAGCCAGAATTGAGTTGATCGTAGCGAGTTTTTTCTATCAGTTTATTGCTTTTGGGTTTTGTTTTTTCTTTTATTTCTTTGCCCAAATATCAAACCTAAGAGAATTCTTTATTGAGGTGAAATCCACATTACATTAAATTAGCTACATTAAATTAAACATATCAGTGACATTTAGTGATTTGGTGTATTCATAATGTTCTGCACCCACTACCTCTGCCTAGTTCTAAAATATTTTCATCACCCTAAAATAGTACCCCTTACCCACCATGCAATTACTCCCCATCCTCCCTTCATCCAGCTCCTGGAAACCACCAATCTGCATATTTTTTCCAGAAGAAATTTCATTCAGAACCACCAAAAAAAAAAGTTTAAGTTGCTTGGGGTGAGATTAGGATGAAAAATGAGCTCCTGAAAGCCAATGATTAGCACTACCCAGAGGCATTTTCACAAGCTTTATTACTTACATGGTAATTAGGATGCAGGGGAATTGGCTAAGAGTCTCATCATAGGATTGTCTCCCTCAGACCCTTGCCCCAGGGAGTTGACATGGAACCCTTCTTTACACACACCCCATGGTGCACTGTAGACAAAAGACAAGGGACAAAGGGACTAAGAGCTTATATACCTTAAACTGAGGGGTATATGTGCAGAAGTGATAAAAGACGAAGGGGGTAAGAGGAAGGTGCCTTTGCTCAGGTTCAGATGGTCTGGCCACCCAGGTACCAGGAATGAGTCTTTGTTCAGGGGCAAACAGCATAGCCTTCCTATGACCAAGGTGCATAACCAGAAAGAACAGTCCTTGCCTTCTAACTACAAAATTAATTGTGTAAGCCTACATTTTCTGATCAATGATCCTGAAGGTCAAAATTTACCAGGAGAAACGTCTTCCTCTGGGGTGCACACTCAGTGTAATTAAGTAGTCATGGAGACGGTGAGAAGCCAAACAGACACTGGGGAAGTAGCTGCTCCCTCTGTATTGTTCTTGATTAAAAAATGAGCGCACTTTAATTAACAGTGAACATTTTAATAAACCCCAAATTTTAATAAATATTTTACAAATACTATTAAATTTGACTTTCATCATCATTCAAAGCAGTGACTCTTATCTTCAATAATTTGATGGTCTGTCAGATATTGCCTGGTCCAACCCCACAACACACACAAATATGTTAACCCATTGTGGTTATCAGACCTTGGTTCAGCAGTCAATATAGCACAGTGGCTAGGGAATATCTTTGGCACCAAAAGATCTTGAGTTCAAGTCTCAGCTCTGCCACTTCATGTGGCCATTGATGAGTTACTCTCCCTCTTTGGCCCTTTTTATATATATACATAAAGCATTATCGTCCCTATATCACAAAACCTTCATGAGAATGAAATGGTACATACTTAGCAGATCAAGTGGGCAATGAATCTTAATTGTTAGTGGTATACTTATCAATTCAATAATAAGGAGGTCTCATCTTTACAAAGTAGGTCCTCTCATTTGTGGAAAGAGTAGGGAAAGAATATATTTAAAGTGATTAGAAATATTGCCTTTGCTTTCCACAAGCTCATGGGAGAAAATGTGAACCCAAGTAGTCAAGGATCTGGGAGGAGCTGGCTTTAGCAGCAGCATCACAAATGGGTGCTTTGATGGGTTTGATGGAGAGCCACTGGTGTCACCCCAGGAGCCCCCTGTGTGATCAATCATCACCTTGGCTGGAGCCCAGCTCTGTTGAGCACTTTGACTAACGCCATCCTCACCTCTCGGTTCCTCAGGCTGTAGATGAGGGGGTTGAGTGTGGGGGTGATGAGGCTGTAGAAAAGGGATACCACATTGTCTTGGTGTGGGCTGTGGTAAGCACCAGGCACCATGTACATGAACACAGCTGCGCCATAAAAGAGCCCCACCACAGTAATGTGTGAGGAGCAGGTGGTGATGGCCTTGTGTCGGGCCCCCTCCGAGTGCATGCGTAGAACAGCCCCCAACACATGGCCATAGGAGGTGGCAATGAGGGACAGGGGGAGTACAAGGATCAGCACCCCTGAGGTGGACAGCGCCAACTCATAGGCAGAGGTGTCTGCACAGGAGAGTTTTAGCAGGGCAGGCACCTCGCAGAAGAAATGGTCCACGACACGGGAGCCGCAGTAGGGGAAGTGCAGAGTGATGGACGTCTGAATGGAGGCATTGAGTACACCTGCCAACCAGGAAGCGCCCACCATAAGCATGCA